AGCTTGCGGTCGTTTTTAATTATAATACGAACTTAGCACAGTGCGTAGGCAACTGGCTGAGTCAGCTGGAGTCGTTGGATCGAATTTCCCTGAAGAAGTCTGATGACGAGATGTGGTGATCTCCGAAGTAGCTACCACTTCTACCATTTTTTATAAATTATTATTACTTTTCTGCAATAGTTTTTCATTAGAAACGGCCTTAAGCTCAATAAAATTGTTGAAGAAAATGTATTACACTAATATTTATAGTTTTATTAAGAGATTACGAATAAAACTATATAGCCAACATAAACTGAAAATAAAATTTCGTAAAAATGCTACGAAAAACGTTCGTAGTCACATTTTTCACAACGAAAGAAGATTTTACGAACCGTCCGTTAAATATAACGAAGTGAGTTTCGGCCAGTACAATTTAGGAAAACTTTCGTTTATTTAAAAAAAACTCATGCGTAAATTACCGAAATTTACCAATAATTTTGTATATTGTACGAATATTTACGTGTAGTTTTAAAACATACGAAATCAACAATTCTGTATTCGTTTTATTTTTTAAATACTTTCATGCATAGTACTAATGCAGAAGAGACATTTCGCGTCAAGCGGACAGTGAAATGGGTGATGCTTCATATTTTGGGTAATTGTAGCTGTGTAAAATATGAAATTGTGTGCATATATTTTTTTATATGTATAATGGTTACTTCTCGAGTTATAGGATTCCAAAGAAAAGCAAAAAATCAAATTAGGAGTTTTCTAAAGTATTTTTTCGTATTCAAAAAAATCCAAAAAATTTTTAATCTTGGCAATTTAGTGAGAAAATTTCTCGCTTTTTAAAATCGGAAATCAATTTTCCAAAAAAAATTTCTATTTCTGTTATACCACACCGGAAGTGAAAATTTAAAAACAAAATTTGAGAAACTTCAACCATTTTTTTGTTTTTTAATTTTTTTTTATATAGCCATATATCCAAATTCTGTATCGGTGACAAAAATGTTTACTGACAAATTAAAAATGTTTCATATATTTCTCCGTAATAAAACCTGTGGCAAGAATTTTTCACTGATACAGAATAGAGCCGTTAGTTATTGTTATAATGTTGTTAGAGTGTGATCTGCATTAGTTTGGGAGGTAAGTAAATTTGTTCACACCTCGCACTAAGTATGATGCTACGTGCAGTTTAAAAATTGGTTTGGCACCGACCGCTTCACAATCTCCAATCGAATTCTGTCTGACGGTTTTGTTGAGAGTTTGTGTGAACTTTGAACTTTTTTTTTCAATACGAAAAAATACTTAAAAAAAAACTAATTTTAATTTTTACTATTCTTTGGGAGCCCATAACTCGAAAGGAAACATCATATAAAGAAAAAAAATGCACACAATTTCATATTTTACACAGATACAATTACCCAAAATATGAAGGAATTCTAAAGCATCATTTTTTATAAATGTTCTACAAGACTTGAAATTTTACTTTACGATTTTTTTAGATAGTAAGCTATATTTTCCAGGGACCGAGAACGCTTCAAAACCAAAAGCGAAATAAGAACAAAACAGTCTAGGCTCTAGAACGTTCTCAATGCGAATTATATAAGCACAAAACCCGGTGAAACGTTCCCAAAGAGAACAAACTGTAAACAATTATTTCGGGAAGTTTTCTAAGAGAAGAAAAAGGGGTCAAACCTTTGGAACATTTTTGCAAAAGAACAAAACAGGAACAAACGTCTAAGGAACTTTTTCTCGAAGAACCATTTGTGGAATTAAGTCTCAGGACCTTTCTAAAAGAGAACGAAATGGGACCAAATCTTCTCTGAACTATTCAACAAAATTTTTCTCATAGCGTTCCATTAGTTTGAAATATTTGAATATTAAAATCAATCAAAAAAGAACTGGAGCATAATTATGCAAATAAAGTCAACGAAAGACTTAAGACACGAACTTTTAAAAATGTTGCCATATTGTTTCCCCATGAAACTTTCTAAATACTTTCGTTCCCACTGGACACGTTCCCGAATTCGAGTTTCGTTCTCAGTCTATTCTACTTGAGAAAGTACCTGAAACTATTTTCGCAGTTTTTTCTTCGGGTAACTTCGGGATCGTAAACCGAGTCTACAAAAAATGGATCGAACCAGATTTATATCTGGCCGAGGAATGATACTCCAGCAGAATTATCGGAAAACCTTTGGGCGATTATTACGTTCTTACCTAAAATAACAAGGGGCCAAGAAAATGTTTATTTTTCATATATATTTTTTTCATATTTATATATTTAGTGGATTCTTAAGACGTGTTAACCGTCGTAAAATTTTAAACCTAACATTGTTTATGTAAAATAAAGCTTAAAATGGTTTTAGAGGATTTCTAACTACTCCAAAACGTTTTAAACTGATAAAAAAAGTAAGTGCGCCCAGGCCACACTGGAGAAGTGAAACTTGCGTTAAATACATATCTATTTTGCCTCATAACTAATATACACACATACATATGTATATACATACATACATCTGCTTTTGCTTAAGGTTATATTTTTTGTCTTTTTCTATCTAGAGCCCTCCCTACCTCTACCCCCGTTCGTTCTAATTACATTTATGTTATTCTGTTTTCCTTTATCTTCATTTTTATCTTTATACATCTTTATCGATAACAAAACCGATAAAAATATCGATAACAAAATCGATGGAAAATTCGATAAAAATTATCAAAATCGATAATAATATTGGTAACAAAATCTATTAGAAACTTGATAAAAAACGATAAAAATATCCATGACAAAAACGATAAAAATATCGATAACAAAATCGATAAAAATATCCATAACAAAATCGATAAATATCGAAAACAAAATCGATAAATATCGATAACATAATCGATAAATATCTACAACAAAATCGATAAATATCTACAACAAAATCTTTAACAAAACCGATAAAAAAAATCGATTATTTTATCGATAAGTCCCGAAAATTCGGAAAATCTCTAAAATACCAAAAAAAAAATAGTTCCCAGATTGAGTCTCTGTGGCTCTCTTTTTATCGTTTCCTCTTTAATTACCATTATTTTAATCTTTCTTCCCCTATCTTCATCTTTGCTCTTATCGGTATCCTCATCCTCCTTATAGTCTTTACCTTTATGTTGATCCATTCACCTTTGCCCTTATATATATAATAGCGTGGGTCGAAAATCCGCTTTTTTAGAATTTTGATTGTTAATAGCAAAAATATTGTTCATTATGCTTTAAAAAAGAATCTGTGTGAAATTTGAAATTTGTTCGGTCAATATCCTGGGCTCGCTCAAGTCCATCAAAGTTCAATATGGCTAAAAAAATAAAAATTAATAAATAAATTAATTAATAATTTTTTTTTTACTAAAATTCCAATAATCTTCGAAAGTACAGCCGCCGCTAAAGAAGTTCCACTTCAAAAATATATACATAATCAGCACCCCCTAAAACCATTTTAACCGCTATTTCAAATAAAAATTGAATTGACTGTCAAAACAACAACGTTCTCTCATTTTGATTTTTAAATATGTAATTAAATATGTAATGGTTGGCAACGCGTAAAGTGATTGGGTACACTTCTAGCAGAGAACGTTTATAAATTTTATTTATTATTTAATTTTTATACCCGAGCGCACTTGTGCACAAGGGTATTATAACTTTGTTCACATAACGGTTGTTTGACAAATTTATACATAAATGATCAGGATGAAAAGAGAAATCGATTAAGCGGTGACTGTCTGTCCGTCCGTCTGTGCACACGATAACTCGAGTAAAAATTAAGATATCTTAACGAAACTTGGTACGTGTACTTCTTTCGGGCGTAGGACGGATGGTATTGAAAATGGGCAAAATCGGACAATAACCACGCCTACCTCCCATATAACGGTAATTTTCGGAAATACGAAAACTGACGATATTTTAGTAACTACTGAAGATTATTCACTCAAAATGTGATATTTACAACAATTTTTAGAGGAAAACTAAGAATGTTATACATTTTTGGAAAATTGGCGTAGCCACGCCACTTATGGTTACATGTGTATATCTTGGCAACCGCTGTACCGATTTCTTCCAAACTTGGCACAGTTATTGGCCTTGGTACAGGATACCAAATGGCCGAAAAGTTTTAAAATCGGACAATAACCACGCCCACATCTCATATAACGGTAATTTGGAGAAATACGAAGTCTTCGACAAATCAGTAAATATTAAAGCCAATTTATTCAAAATTGATGCTTGCAACAATTCCTTACCAGGAATGTAAAATGAAAAATGGGCGTGGCACCGCCCACTTATGATTACATATATGTATCTCGGTAACCGTTCTACCAATTTGTACCAAACATGGTATTTTTATTGTGCTTGCTACATAAAAGCAAAACGATGAAAATTATTAAAATCGGACTAAAACGGTAAATTTTAGAAATGCTTTAAACGTCAATATTTTGAAATTTAAGGACGCTAATTTACTCAAAATTGATACACCTTGGCTTACCATGTAGCGGTAGCTTTCGGAAAGGTGAAAATCATATATTTAATATTTGCGCCGGGTATTTAATGTTCGGCTCCGCCCGAACTTAGACTTTCTTGTTTATTTATAATTTAATTTATATGCGTTCCCTGCTAGCACCACTGAACCGAAGACACGAGCCACATCTTGCAAACTACCCACTGTAATTTGAATGTTGCTGATGAACAGAAACATTGTTGCTGGACGAGTTGCAAATGTCCATAATAACGAAGTTAATTAAGAAGTGACTAACGAAAAAGCTAATCAGACATGGATGATGATATCCAAAACCGTCAAGCGATAGATTTACGTTCTTGGTTTCTATCAAATAGTTAAATACTATACCTGTATTTTCGATGCACGCCTAACCACTGTAAATGTTTATAACAAATTTTCATAAACATCTTAGCAAAGTCATGCACCAACGTTTTGGCATTTGATTTTCCAACACGCTGGCACCACTGCCGTGTTTGACAGTTAGAAAGTAAATGACAGTTCTCCGTGCCGTGGTCGTGAATCTGCGAGTTTTTTCTTGTGTGTTTGATATTTTTATTTGTGCCGCAAATCGCCTTTGTCTGTCTGTCTGCGCTGATTGTGTGCTAGTTTAACCAGCGCCAGTTGGAATTTATTGTATAAAATTCGTTTGCGATATTTAAATAAAGGCGACTGCAAAAACCAGTGCGAAACTCAGCCAAACAAACTGACGGACGTTGTGAGTGAAGATGTCAAAAACCAGCGTTGGCGATAAAATTGTAAGTTTTGTTTTTATACGTTTAGTGATAATTTGTTTATTTTGCAAAGGTTTCTGTTTTCTGTATTGATTTGCTTTGTTTTGTATTGGTCAATCCACAAATTTGCAATCGAAAGGATGCCGTGTCCATCGGCGCTGTCAAGTTAAATGGAAGCTGCGACCGGCAAATTGTTGCAGTTGCTTTTTTATGAAGATTAACCATAATTTAAACGTTGAAGTAGACGCAAAAGCTTCAACTATTTCTCGCTTATTACTCAGCATTATTTGACGATATGTGCAATGTACATACATATGTGCTTTCCGCTTACAAGAAATATTCACCCCATCAGCTGATGTTACAAGCTAATTTGCATCAACTTTTGCCGGCAGCCGGTTAATGCCGGCAAAATTCAAAAGTCGACAGAGAAAAACCGGCAAAGTACGAAACCATCCTCAGAATTATTTACACAGCTGCAAAACAGCAGCAGCAGTAGCAACAAAAGCGTTAGGAGTAGTAGCAGCAGCAGCAGCAGCAAAAAAACTTACTACAAATAAGGTGCAATAGACAAGCCGACATGGTTGTACATACACATGTATTATGTTGGCCGGCAGACTGTCGGGGCAACTAAATAACCTCTCCGGCTAGTTGCAAAATAAAAAGATTATCTACAAATAATAGCGAATGTAACGTAAAAATTCTGGCAAACTGTTGTATTGAATCGACATCGTCACACGAGGTGTCACAAACCGCTTGTCGCGCTGAACCACCCACTGCTTGCCCACCCACAACTACATATGTAATACATTGGTCAAAATATTGCGCGTCTTTGAATGCGCGAGCAATTTATGTCCCATGTACATATCTATCTGTGTACAAATGCATGTAAGAAGCTTTTCCACTGTTTGTTTGGCAGAGGAGGGTATATATTTTTTGTCTTTTGTTTTGATCTTTCATTTATAACAAGCTAAAGCAATATAAACGAAATTATTAATAAGAAAACCATAAAAAAATACAAAAACTTTTGCATTATTAAAATTTAACGAATTTTTTAAAATAGCACGAGAACTCAACATTCCAAACTAATGCTCCAACTTCCAACAGCGTTTTTCTAATATTAACATAGTACATATTTATACTGTTACATGCCTTTAATCATTCAAATAAAATCCTTCTGCAATTAAAACGTAGATAAGCGATGAAAATATACATACATATATGTATATCGTCGTTTAAAGTACAAAACCGCGTATCAACAAAGTGCAAAACCGNCATACATACATATATATCGTCGTTTAGAGTACAAAACCGCGTATCAACAAAATGCAAAACCGCTTATCAAGATAATGCAAAACCGCGTATGTGAGGTTGCATAAATTATTTTCTAGAGAGTTAAAACACTCATATTTCAAAATGATCCCCCTTTTTTTATAAAGCAATCGCATTTCTGGCTAGTATATTTCAGGACGAATGTATTAGGATTAAGCCAAGAGCTTGAGTGATCAAATCCAATTTTTGGCAGCAACTGCCAGTTACGCGGTTTTGCAAACGACGATACGTGGTTTTGTGCTTTAAACGGCGATATGTACTATTAAAGTATCTAAATGTTACATGAAAATTTGTCGAAACCAAGTTCAATGCCGTGCGGATGACGGAAAATGCATTCAGTCTTCTGCCAGCGTTAGCGATGCCAACAAGTGCGACCAGCATAAAGAGACAAATAATTTTAAAGTACCTATAAGGTACTTGTAAAGAGGCGCTATTTCTTCTCCATTGGCCATCCGAAAATGAGTCAAAAACACATTTCAATAAAACTAAAAATTTATTAAGTTAAAAAAAGTAAAAAAAAAAAATTGTTAACCATGTCGATGTGCGAATTGGAGTCATTGCTGTATCGGAAAAGGAATGTGGTATATGCATTTGTGCGGCACCGACTGATGCTCATCTGTAAACAGTCGGTAAGGAGCGGGAGTGAAAAGCAAAACGACTAACTACGCATCCATAAAAGTTTTTCATATTTAAAACGATTAAAAAATAGTACTATAGTGCTTGCAATCATTTAGCGTAAGCGTGCTCTTCAAGCATTTCGGAAATGCACCAATTATCACCGTTGATGTGGTTGAACTTGAAAATTTTGGCATGCAATCTAAGCTAAATTAGCAAAAACGAAAAGAAATTGCAAACAAAAACGAAAACAAAAAAATAGTTTGCACGAGCGGAAGTAAAAAAATCAACAAAAATATACTATAACACCCACACTATTTTTAAATTATTCTCAAGTTTTCTAATTGTAAACTTTAATTGTTATTTATCTGATGTTCTTCTTTTAACATTTTTAGTTGATACGCGTGCAGTCGGCAGAAGGCCTCAAACGTATCGAGATTTCACCGAAAGCCAATTTAAAAGAACTCTTCGAAACGGTGCAACAAACTCTGAAAGTTGATGGCTTCGGACTTTTCAAGGAACGCAATTTCCTTACAGAAGTAGGTTATATAAAATATCATTAAAATTAGGAATTAAACTAACAGACTTGATATTTTTCAGTTGCATTCTAGTCATTCGCAGAAAGTGGGCTCTTGCCTAAAACATGGCGACATGCTGTTCTTAAAGAAAATAGCTGGTACTTCAATACGTGTAAGTGCCCTACACCAAATTCTAAGATCGCAGATCTACGTTCCCACGACAGTCGGGTCTACGTAACCGGAACGACCCAGATTTATATCTGGCCAAGGACTGTCACTCCAGCAACACTCCCCAAAAAGTCTTTGGGTAATTTGTATGCTGCTACAACAACAACAACATCGCAGATCTAGTACAACTGTTTAGCCTTTTTGAAATATTTACTCAAAAAATGTGTACTTAAATTGTTAACCTTTCAACTTTTCCCTCCAGCGCACCAGCACTACTGCTATAGATGATTTTGAAACTACCAGCACCAGCCGACCGCCAGCAAGTAGCAGCAAACAATTTCAGCCTTCCACTGCAGTAGTAGAGGATGAAGTAGATCAAACGCTGTCGAAGATGGATGGCTTAATAGAACGCGCACGCGATCCAAAAGCGTAAGTTTTATTATAAATGTGTTGTTTGGTTAAACTCCTAAATTTATCTATTTTCTTTTGTTAGTTGCCGCCACAATGCTAATGGTCGTTGTGTTCATTGTACACCAATCGAACCGTATGATGATAACTATCTGAAGGAGCAAAAAATCAAGCATTTGTCCTTCCATTCGTATATACGCAAGCAGAAGTCAGGCATTGATGGCGGCAAGTATGTCGCTTTTGATGATATCAATTGCCGCATTAAGTCTGGTTGTCGTGAGCATCCACCATGGCCCAAAGGTATCTGTTCCAAATGTCAGCCATCGGCTGTTACACTGAATCGCCAAACTTATCGACACGTTGATAATATTATGTTCGAGAATCCAACTATAGTGGAGCGTTTTCTCGACTATTGGCGTACTACAGCCCATCAAAGAATGGGTTTTCTTTATGGCACTTATGAAGTCCATGCTGATGTACCACTTGGTATACGTGCTACTGTTGCAGCCATTTACGAGCCGCCGCAAGAATCAACACGTGATTCTATTAGATTGCTGGACGATGAAGCGGCTGCCGAGGTGGATGAATTAGCACATGCATTGGGTTTGAAAAAGGTCAGCGCCCATTGGCTTTATTTTTCAAAAACAATATTAAGTTTTCTCCATTTAAATTAAAGGTTGGTTGGATATTTACTGATCTCATTACTGATGATCCAGCTGTTGGCAGTGTAAAGCAATTGCGCGGCATTGAGACGCATTTCCTCACTGCGCAAGAATGCATTACAGCAGGAGAATTGCAAAACCGTCATCCGAATCCATGTAAATACGCTTCGAGTGGTTATTTTGGTTCGAAATTTGTTACTGTCTGTGTAACAGGTACGTATAACTTGCATTTAAAATTATAAAACATCCTAACTATTGTTTCATTATTGCTTTTAGGCGACAGCAGCAAGCAAGTGCATACAGAGGGTTATGCTGTTTCAGCCCAATGTATGGCCTTGGTGCGTGACAATTGTTTAATACCCACTAAGGATGCACCCGAATTGGGTTACGTACGCGAATCAACGGATAAACAATATGTTCCGGATGTTTACTATAAGGTAAGTGCTTCTTTAAAAGTGAAAAGCATTATGTGGGAAGCCTTAAATGAAAATCATCCTCGTGGAAATACTTAAAACTAGTAAAGAAAACATTTTTTTTTAACACTTGGGTAATAAGAACACACATAACCTAACTAATATTTNAATGCTATTCTTAAAAAAAATAGCTGGTACTTCAATACGTGTAAGTGCCCTACACCAGATTCTAAGATCGCAGATCTAGTACAACTGTTTAGCCTTTTTGAAATATTTACTCAAAAAATGTGTACTTAAATTGGTAACCTTTCAACTTTTCCCTCCAGCGCACCAGCACTACAGCTATAGATGATTTTGAAACTACCAGCACCAGCCGACCGCCAGCAAGTAGCAGCAAACAATTTCAGCCTTCCACTGCAGTAGTAGAGGATGAAGTAGATCAAACGCTGTCGAAGATGGATGGCTTAATAGAACGCGCACGCGATCCAAAAGCGTAAGTTTTATTATAAATGTGTTGTTTGGTTAAACTCCTAAAATTATCTCTTTTCTTTTGTTAGTTGCCGCCACAATGCTAATGGTCGTTGTGTTCATTGTACACCAATCGAACCGTATGATGATAACTATCTGAAGGAGCAAAAAATCAAGCATTTGTCCTTCCATTCGTATATACGCAAGCAGAAGTCAGGCATTGATGGCGGCAAGTATGTCGCTTTTGATGATATCAATTGCCGCATTAAGTCTGGTTGTCGTGAGCATCCACCATGGCCCAAAGGTATCTGTTCCAAATGTCAGCCATCGGCTGTTACACTGAATCGCCAAATTTATCGACACGTTGATAATATTATGTTCGAGAATCCAACTATAGTGGAGCGTTTTCTCGACTATTGGCGTACTACAGCCCATCAAAGAATGGGTTTTCTTTATGGCACTTATGAAGTCCATGCTGATGTACCACTTGGTATACGTGCTACTGTTGCAGCCATTTACGAGCCGCCGCAAGAATCAACACGTGATTCTATTAGATTGCTGGACGATGAAGCGGCTGCCGAGGTGGATGAATTAGCACATGCTTTGGGTTTGAAAAAGGTCAGCGCACATTGGCTTTATTTTTCAAAAACAATATTAAGTTTTCTCCATTTAAATTAAAGGTTGGTTGGATATTTACTGATCTCATTACTGATGATCCAGCTGTTGGCAGTGTAAAGCAATTGCGCGGCATTGAGACGCATTTCCTCACTGCGCAAGAATGCATTACAGCAGGAGAATTGCAAAACCGTCATCCGAATCCATGTAAATACGCTTCGAGTGGTTATTTTGGTTCGAAATTTGTTACTGTCTGTGTAACAGGTACGTATAACTTGCATTTAAAATTATAAAACATCCTAACTATTGTTTCATTATTGCTTTTAGGCGACAGCAGCAAGCAAGTGCATACAGAGGGTTATGCTGTTTCAGCCCAATGTATGGCCTTGGTGCGTGACAATTGTTTAATACCCACTAAGGATGCACCCGAATTGGGTTACGTACGCGAATCAACGGATAAACAATATGTTCCGGATGTTTACTATAAGGTAAGTGCTTCTTTAAAAGTGAAAAGCATTATGTGGGAAGCCTTAAATGAAAATCATCCTCGTGGAAATACTTAAAACTAGTAAAGAAAAAATTTTTTTTTAACACTTGGGTAATAAGAACACACATAACCTAACTAATATTTAAAACAAAATCTTGTTTACATGTGTTATAAGGATTCAGATATTTATTCAAAAGTCGCCGATGGCAAAGTAACTATCATCGTGCTAAAAATTTTAGATAACATTATATTCTTAGACCAGCTGTTATGAATTGGTTGCAATCCAATCCATTCTATGATCCCATATGCGAACTACTGGTCTTCATGAGACGGTGGCATCAACTGTTTCTGTGAATGCCGTTATCAATATCCAATCACCATTTGTGGATGAAAGTTAGCTTCCACTGCCCCGAGAGACTCGCATAACTCTGGTCCAGTTAAGGTCTNTTAGTAAAGAAAAAATTTTTTTTAACACTTGGGTAATAAGAACACACATAACCTAACTAATATTTAAAACAAAATCTTGTTTACATGTGTTATAAGGATTCAGATATTTATTCAAAAGTCGCCGATGGCAAAGTAACTATCATCGTGCTAAAAATTTTAGATAACATTATATTCTTAGACCAGCTGTTATGAATTGGTTGCAATCCAATCCATTCTATGATCCCATATGCGAACTACTGGTCTTCATGAGACGGTGGCATCAACTGTTTCTGTGAATGCCGTTATCAATATCCAATCACCATTTGTGGATGAAAGTTAGCTTCCACTGCCCCGAGAGACTNTTCCATTCTATGATCCCATATGCGAACTACTGGTCTTCATGAGGCGGTGGCATCACCTGTTTCTGTGAATGCCGTTATCAATATCCAATCACCATTTGTGGATGAAAGTTAGCTTCCACTGCCCCGAGAGACTCGCATAACTCTGGTCCAGTTAAGGTCTGTATTTTGTACCCGTCTCAACTCTTACCTGACCTCTTACAGACCTGACGCCAACAACCCCAATGAGTGTCAACCATGTGGAGGTTCCTCTCGCGACACCAACCACCTCTTCGAAAACAACTAACCCACACTTTCGCTTGAAAACCTAAATAATGCATATGCAAAACCGAAGTAATGTATACAAGAAAAACGAAATAATCCATACATGTATAGTTTAGGTTGCAACTCGAACTTACGCATATTAAATGTTATTCTGTTTACAGTATCAGCTCGGTGTGAAATTTCGGTACTTATTGATACTCATAAAACTTTTTCGAGCCTCAAATGCAATTAAAATCTCACTCCGAGCTGGTATATAAACATAATAACATTTCACTTTCCTCTCACTCATGTGATTCTTTTGTGTTTAGGGCAATGATTAATTTTTCTGTACATATGAACACTTATGGGTCGATTATCGACGGCTTTCTGTCTGTACATACGAGGCAGTGCTCTGGTATTTATGTTTTATTTGACAAACCGACTTTGGTTCCATTTCATCACAGTTGCTATCATCGACGTTATCTGACTCCAACCCACCAATATCGGTCTATTGTGCTATGCCAGTGTTGTTCTCTACTAATTGCCGTTCTTTTCCTAAGATTTTCCGTAATTGTTTTTGTGTCTATTGCAAGAACCGGCGCGGGATCTATTGAAGCGGAGGCCGCCTCTATTCTGGCTAAGCCGTTAGATTCCTTTGTATTCCTTATTGACCTGACATCCACAGTAGTTTATGCTATTCTAATCAGCTATGCAATTGAGTTTCTAAGGATAATTTACTGTCGATAAATATTAAAATTTGCTCATTTCGCTTACCTCTATATAAGTAGCTTCCTTCTGGGACCATAAATGGCCGCCACAATGCCTTCTGCTATTTTGGAAGCCGTCTGTGTAACACTGCATGGTGATGACCTGTGCATGCCTCTCCTTGTTGGAGTTGCTCCACGTCGCCTTGCTTAAGAGCTCTGTTTTGAATTTGGGGTAGAGGGCTAGTCGAAGCTGGGATCCGAGTTTCTCCATATTCCTAGTTTATAGGACCTTATCTCTGCAATAACTTTCTCTTGTAAAGTTTAAGAGAGTACGCTAGTGGCTCAAGTTCAAGACCTATCTTGAGTGTACGCATTACCACTGTGATACAACCACAGATCAGTTTGGTGAGATACTGTTTCACCGTGGCTGAGGCGGTTCTCGCAGCCAAGTTACTGGCCCATAGGTCACTACTAGTCATACTTGCATAGTTTACATCTATACCCCTAAAGTTTGCTTGCTAAGCGCCTGCACACCACTTACATTGTTTACATATACTTATTAGGCTCTTGGGGCTGCACCCCTAAGGTTTGCTTGCTAAGCGCCTGCACACCATTAGTGACCTGATAGATTTTGCTGTCCTTAGCCTCCTCTTATACCTTCACCACGACCTCGCTCAGGACTATATCCTCGTACTTGGGAGGTTCCTTCTACTAGTGAAGGTTACGATGGCCGTCCCGGATGGATTAATATTCAGTCAGCCATTGACGTAAAAACACCTTAACTTTACACCTTTTTGTATTCTATCAGTAAATGTTGATTTCGCACTTTACTCTGGAAATGATTAATATGCCATACGCATACAACTACTACGAAGTCCAAGAGGAGTGGTGACAGTATCCCTCCTTTCGGGTATCCTTTTGTTGTTTGCAACAATACCATACTATTCGCCTTATCGGTTTCAGCAATCCTTGTTTGAAGCAGTTTGGCTTTCCATATGCATATGGTTGGTTGCACTCTTCGTTTTTCTAGTGCCTGGCAAACCATCTCATGTGACGTATTGTGTAGGCTATTTCAATATCGAGTAAGGCGCAGAGCTCAGTTTCTGAACACAAGGCACTCTCTATCCCCATAGGCAGCGCCTTCAGAGCGTGTCTGGGGATCTTCCAACCTTATCTGCATGTTGATTGGGATACAGAGGGGTCAGCTCCAGAGTGTTAGATCTCATTTCATTATCAATAACCTTCTCCAATATTTTTTAGCAAGAAAAGGTTAGTCTTAGGGGCTGAGTGATTTTACTAGGGAGTAGTCTCTCCTTCCAGTGAGGAAGAACAATGAAGCAATAAAGCCTCGGATGGGACCCTCCTTTTGACAGCAGCACTACGCACAACGACATGGACCTAATGTAGCGAATCAAAATACAGCGCCTCCTGGCCACGTCGTGCGAATTTACACTGACGCTCCAGCTCTGAAAGTATTCAACTCGGAACGCGCTGCTGGTAGCAGAGGAAGAGGGAGGCCCCCACTACGATGGAAAGACCAAGTGGAGAAGGACTTGGCTTCACTTGGTATTTCCAATTGGCAAAGACGAGTAACCACTGGCGTGGTTTGTTGAACTCGGCCAAAATAGCTTAGGCGGTTACAGCGCCAAATAAGAAGATGAAGAAGTCTCTCCTCCACACCTCTAGAATGTAGGATAGAAACAGACTGTCTCTCGTAATGTTCACTAGGTGTGGCAGTATCAGTTGTTGTTGTTGTTGTAGCGGCTACAACAACCCCGCTCA